CATGTTGACCAGGATGGTCTCGATCTCTTGACCTTGTGATCCACCCGCCTCGGCCTCCCAAAGTGCTGGGATTACAGGCTTGAGCCACCGCGCCCGGCCTATAGAAATATTTTATTATGGACATATATAGTCAAGAGAATAGCACAATAGCCTCCCTTGTATCCATCACCCAGCTTCAACAATCATCCATATGCTGACATGTTATCTACACTTCCACTCACCTCCCATTCCCCGCTCAATTATTACAGTTTTCACACTTTTTTAGAAAGGTAAACTCTTGCCTTGAAAGCTGTATGTTTTTGACAAATGGATCTGATGTAATCTGAATGATGGCAATTTAGCAATGTTTCCACCTTCCCAGAGGGTTTCCTCATGTTCCCTCCTTGCTATTCTGGGAGAAACAGGATGTTAACTTTTGTGATGGAAAATTTTAGAGTATATCATTAACCTGTGTATACCATCACCTAGTTGCAACAATTATCAACACATATTTAATCATGTTTTGTGTATGGCCCCATCCATTTCTTCCCACCCTGAATTGTTTTGAAGTAAATCCCAAACATAAATATTGTAAATATTTCTGTATTTTTGACAGATAAGGATTCTTTAAAATAATCATGTTACCATTATGCCTTAACAAAACATAATGAACATTTCCTTAACCTGATTTAATGGGGGTAAAGAAGACCACAGATTCTTTTTTGTGTAAATGGTACTTTAAGAAAAAGTGGAGGTGAGGGTGGTGATGAGGATATTTCAGATTCTTTTCCCATACTCTCAGATGCCCTCCTGCTTTAATAAGACTGTTTCTGACCCACTATTTTCCTTGCCTTTAGCTCCATTACTTACCACAGCCCAGGCGAAACCAGGAGAGACCCAGGAGGAAGAGACTAACTCAGGAGAGGTAATAGAAGTGCCTTCTCCCCTATCCTCCTCATGTAGTAAACATTCCAAATGGGAGATTTGATATGAAAACACAGGAATGCAGTCTTGGTTTCTGCAGGCTACTTGGTGCTTGAAGAGCCCCCAGACTTTTGGGGTCTCTGGGTAACGAGACGTTCTACGTGATCAGGCTGCTCTGCATCACTGGAGATACAGACCTGCACCCGAGGTCACAGGGTTACTGAATGAGCCGTTTAAAAATGTTGGAAAGGGGCCGGGCGCGGTGGCTCACGCCTGTAATCCCAGCACTTTGGGAGGCCGAGGCGGGTGGATCACGAGGTCAAGAGATCGAGACCATCCTGGTCAACATGGTGAAACCCTGTCT